ACACAAAGTTTCAGTTTCTTTAGATTGAACTTCAATCCTACTTCGCTGTTTCTATCCAGTACTCTTCTCAACTTTTGATCAGGATCCGTTTGATGTTTACCATGTATCAGAAAATCATCCACTATAATCTCCAGAGGAATCCCTTCAAAGAGTTTGTCCATCTCCCTTTGGTAGATTTCAGGGGCAGAAGAGATGCCAAACGGGAGCTTTGTAAATCGGTATCGACCCCAGGGGGTATTGAATGTTAAGAGCTTTGAGCTTTCATCATCCACTGGGAGCTGCCAGTATCCACTGCAAGCATCAAGGGACATGAAACTCTTGGCAACTGATAGTCTGTTGGCAACCTCCTCTACAGTAACCATTGGAGAGTGTGTTCTCTTAAGAACTTTGTTTAGGTACCTTGGGGGTCAATAAAAACTCGAACATCATCCTTCGAGTGGAGTGTTCTTTTCTTTCACTTTAGTTTGTCAATCACTAACATAAATAAAACCCAAGGGGTGCTTTCCTCTTCTTTAACAATAACCCCATCTTCTTCCATCTCTGTGAGCTTCTCTCGTGCTGGTTCAAGAAGTGCACTTGGAGTTTTCCTGGGAGGATGTACCACTGGAGGAACTAACGGATCAACTTCCAAATGTACTTTGTTAGAAAGCTTGCCAGGTTTATCACAAAACAGTCTTGCTCTGGTTGTTTTGACCCTGGAGTAGTTATCAGTTCAAGGTTCATAAACTCGAAGTCTAGACATGCATCACAACCCAGCAATGGTGTAAAATTTCCATCAACATGGTCAATTCCGTGGACGTAGAAAAATCTCTTAAAGCTGCTGGGTAAATCGCTATTGTTCATCGGATGGTCATCATTGGTGTACGCTTCTTGACTCTCAGTCTTGAAAAATTTGGAGGCTCTTTTTTCTTTCCTGTAGAATTACGATTGAAATTTTTAGATCTAGAGGGTCTCCCCTTTTTTAAAGGAACATTTTAACTGTCTGGCAGATCCTTCATTCCAAGGTACCACTCAGTGTTTGTGAAATCATGCAAAGAGGAAATACTTTGGAACAACCGCTTTATTAAGATCGGCGGAAAGACGTTTTTTTAATAAAGTATGAGTTAGTAATTAAAAGGCATTTGAAAAATCAAAGATATCCTCAATGCTTACGACAACATCCTATCTTTCCAAGACCTTAAAGATACTTTCGACGTTCGTTGTACCGTTCTTGATTACGGTGGTCTTTTGGCCGCGATTCCTAGAGATTGGAAAAATGCTATCTTACATGGCAATCTGGCACACACCGACGAACCAACGGTGACGCAACTAACTGTTGGAAATGTTTCAGCAAAATATGTTCGACTAATGTTTTCTGAGAAATCTTTCTGCCCTCCATTAATTTAATCCTACTCAAGAAAACAAACATTCACTCCTAGTGCTGTATATGAGCTTCCATTCAAAATCACCATTGAAAATAAGCTAAGAAGTTTTCAATTCAAACTCATCCCCAATATTCTTCCAACCAACCAACGCCTTTGGAAAATGAATGTTAAATCTTCTCCAAAATGCGAACAATGTGATGCTCACTGTGAAACCATTAGCCATATATTTTACGAGTGTCCTGCCCTGAAAATTTTTGCGGAAAAAGTCGTAGATTGGTGGAATCGTAAACGTTTTGAAAACACAAATCCCATTCCAAGGGAAGTTCTTTATGGATACAAACCTGAATCTAACAGCTTTCATACTTTTACCCATTGACGGTCTGTTAATTGCCAGATTTTACATTTACTTAGTTAGAAACAAGTTTGAGACCCCAGAACTGGAGGTCTTCATTGTTCTCCAAGAAATTAAAATCCAGTGCGAAAGAGAAACTGCAATAACAAACAGAAATCTTAACAAATACAGAAATAAGTGGACCACCCTGTGCATTTCTGATTAGTGTTGATTTGTAGTAATTTGGCAAACGCCCACTATTATTATTTTCTGTTTGTTCTTCTAGTTGTTGTTAATTTGTTGAACTCTCGTATTTCGCGTGTTTTGCTTTTTTGTTTGTTTGTTATTTTTTTTTTACTGTTTTGCCTCTTTTTTTTTTTGCCGCCCTGTTATTGTAAAGTGTATTGTAATGTTATGTCGAATGATGTTAAATAAATAAATTATAAAAACAACAGATACAACAACAAAAATAAACAACAAGACGATACAAAAGGTTAAGTTCATGACTCCCATATTAAATTGGAAGCCTCACACAGAGCCCTTTGGATGGATGGGTTTAAGTGCAAGCCAACCCTTCAAAGGTTGCTGAATTTTCTGAAGAGGTTTGTTTGTGATTTCCTTGTACAACTTATAGAGGATGACTGTAGCCTCTGTCCCCGGTATCTTTGATCTTTGATCTGTACGATTTTGAGTGTACGATTCTTTCGAGGGCCGGAGACACTATCCAGCTCAACCGACCCAAAATATCTGTGCACATCGTGATTCATTGGAGGCTCATGTTCCACAGCTGCAAGTTGAGAACCTTTAGCACTTAATTCTTTGCACACTTGTGCAAAGTGTCCTTCCTTCTAACACTTGTTGCATTTCTTTCCAAGAGCAGGGTAGCGAGATGACTGAGTAAATGGGTGATTGTAACCACAAAACTTACAGTAACGAGCAGTTGTCTTTTCTTGAACCTTGAATTTCTTAAGAGGGCGAAGTGAAAGTTCGGTAACCGCAACTGTTGGTGTGTTAGACTTGTATTTCTGTAGTTCGGCTGCCTCGAGTGTACGACAATAATCATGAACAGTTTGTAGCGTTAAATCTGGTTTCTTCAGCAGTTCACTTCGCAATTCGTCTGACAAAACTCCTCCGCGATGCGATCAGGAATGAGCGAATCTCCACTTATGTCCAGAAATGCATGCAATGGCGAAAATGGCGAAAATGGCGAAAAATCGCCAGCCTCTGGCAATTTGAATTGATGCCAAAAGTGGCCCCTTGGAGGCTGGCGATTTTGGCGAAAATGGCGATTTTGGCGAAATTGGCAATTTTGGCAAAAATCGCCATGCATGCAATGGTGAAAATGGTGAAACTGGCGAAAAATCACCAGCCTCTGGCGATTTGAATTGGATGCCAAAAGTGGCCCCTTGGAGGCTGGCGATTTTGGCGAAAATGGCGATTTTGGCGAAATTGGCAATTTTGGCAAAAATCGCCATGCATGCAATGGCGAAAATGGCGAAACTGGCGAAAAATCACCAGCCTCTGGCGATTTGAATTGGATGCCAAAAGTGGCCCCTTGGAGGCTGGCGATTTTGGCGAAAATGGCGATTTTGGCGAAATTGGCAATTTTGGCAAAAATCGCCAGAGGGCTGGCGATATGTGGCAAAATATTCAAATTGGATGCCAAAAGTGGCCCCTTCAAAGTAGATAACTAAAGAGGTCCTTATAACTGTGAGGCAACATTTATCAAATACAACTGAATCAAATATATCTGAAAACA